GTTTTCAGACAAATCATGTGTTTAATTTTAATAAAATTACGAATAAATAACAATTAAACAATTGTGTTTGCAGTTAATGAAACATGGAGAAATTTGAAACAAAAGGACTGATTATTGAATTATTTTCAAAGTTTTAATTAACTTTAAAATTATTTCTAAACTTTTAATGCAATGCCACCTAATCATAGATGGAAGTCAAGAACTAATATGAACTGAAGATTTATTTGTACTTTTTGGAGATTTTTCATAAATGGTTTTCACTGCTTAATAAAATTTTGTAGATTTTCTGTAATCTTGATTTTGTAAGTAACGAAAATGGAAAGATTATCCTGTTAGAATGTATTAGGTCCCTGATTGAATTCCAGTTAAAGTAGAAATTTTTCTACCATGACTACTTTAAAAAAAAATTACTTGTACTCGTATTAGGTGTTAAGAAATTGAATACAACGAAAACATAATTTTTCGCAATTCAAAACTAATGTTTTTTTTTTGTAAAATTAAAATAGTTGATGGATTAAATTGAATTTTTCAAAGATCTTTTCAAGATTCGTTAAATAATTCAATTAAAACTAGAGTTTAAAATTATAAACTCTCAAATCGATAACGATTGTGCGAATTCTGTCTTATAATTTCCAAATAGCGAGTACGAACAAAGAATGATTAATTATTGGTTACTCCTCTTCTTAACTGGATTTACTTATATAAATTATTATATGTACGATTTTAATTTTACAATTAATGTGTTAAATTGACAGTCTAAAATGCTTTCGAAACACCAAGTGCACCTGATTTTAAAAGTAAAGATTCATGAAATTATTGAAACAGAAAAAACTATTGCAATATGTTATACTATACACTATAGGATACTATAGGAAATATAATACTGCAGGAAAATTTTTATTTCACGAATATAGGCTGCTAAATTATAGCCAAATATTATATTACGAATAAAATGAACAATATTTTTTCTAGAAAAGCAGTACAACATTGACTTTATAATAGTTGAGTCAAAGATTAAACTCAACCTTTTTAATCCAGTAAAATCCTGTTGGGTGTTACTTCGAGTTCAAAGAATTTCACATTTATATAACGTTTATATTGTATTCGCCATGAGCAATAGTCTATTAAAAATTATTATACGAAATTATTATATCTACATTTAATTACTCACTCCAATTCACGTTTTATATACAATATTCATATGTTTGCAGTTGCTCCTTCTCTTAACATAACTGTTCCATAATATCCTCGAAAATTTACACATATTTCCTTGCCTTATATACTTGTAATATTTAACTTAATAATTTACTTTTTCAAAATATACAAATATACCTACATTTCGAACTCTCAATCACGTGGAAAATTTCAAACCATTTTCAAAAAAAGAGAAAAATAAAATCAAAAAGAAGAGAAAAAAAATTTCAATGTTAACGTTTAAAATATTTTCGTAATTTCAATTAGTAAGCATTAGAGAAAATGTATAATACTTTGTGAAAACTTTTAACATACAAAAAAAAAACAACAAAAAAAACAGAAAGAGGAAAACTCAATTTTAGTCATTTTCAATTCAGTGTAAAAACATTATACAAGTTTTTCTAAAGTAGAAATTTACTTTATACTGCGAAAGTAGCATAATGGAATTTTTTTTTCTCTCATTTTTAACTTTATTTTTTATGAATTATGAAAAGTAAAGTTGTGAAAGCAACAGTCTCGAAAGTTTTTCACATTAAATGCTTTTTCTTCGTTTCGTTTTGGTTTCTTCTCTTTTACTCATTACATAAGTTTCCCTATACATTTTCCTATAATTTTTTCAACAATTTTATATAAAATTTTTTCTATATAGCAGACTGATATATGTAAAGTTATGCATGTTGTATAAGTTTTTTAAAATATAATTAATTTGGAAAAAAATGAGTTCTATACCGAATCATCAGTTTATATTTTCAAAAACTTTAAATTTAGTAAAAATTTTTCAAATGAAGAAAAAAAAAAATATTCATAAAACAGGGTAGTCTTAAAAAAAGTTTTAATCAGATTTTAAAAATTTTGACGTTTATAACATTAAAATTGAAAGGAAAAAGAATTTCTCGACAAAGTTTTACATAACTAGTACTAAATAGTATATAAAGTAATTTTAATATTTGAAATATTTTTATTTTAAATTATTTGAAAATAATGAATTTTTTAAATAATTCAATTGATGCGTTCCTCTTACGGGAGTATAACAATAATAAAGTACAACATATTTAATAATGCAATATGTAATACGTTCAATATGTGTCAAATTCCTTTCAAATTTATATTAGGAAATAGTCATTTTGTATTTTTTGTAAGAGTGCCGAAAACATTAAGCATGCGGTTTGTATCTAGAATACATGGTAAAGAATATAGTTCGAAATTCAAACATTAAAATGAGGTGCTCAGCACATTAGTGGCCTACTGTCAAAAATTTCGAGCAGATTGCGACTAAAATATTTAAATATTTAATTTTAAGAAAATTTTAAAATTCTTTTGGCCATTTCAGTTCTATTGAATATAATAATTTACTTTTGCAAAAATGTTGGATAATACGCCGACCGCCTCAAATGTTAGTTAAAAAAAAATTGAAAAAAAAGAGTTCAAAAAGGTTCGATAACGCTCTTGATATTTTACAATGTTTGTGATTCTGAAAATACACCATGTTGGCACAAATTCAATTTGGTAAAGCAAATAATATTAACTACGCCAAAGTATATGCAATTTTTCTATATTTTTGGGGGAATTTATTTTGTTATCCTCAAGGTTTACATTATTTTGTAAATTAGATTGTTAAAAATTTTGATTTAAATTAATTTATTTGAAGTAATTTTTAAATTAGTCTTTAATGAAAAAAAACACTATACTATATTATATTATAAGATTAATTATTACAACCGCTATAAAATGAAACAAGCCATTTAAGCCTGGAAAAAGAAAAAACACTCAAATCATCACTCAGTGCCCGAAAAAAATTGTCTGAAATAGTTGCAATATGTAAAATATTAAGGGAACATTAGGACATAAATCAATATTGAAATATTAATTATAATAAAGTTGGGTCAAACCAATGGTTTGTATTGTAGCACTTTTCCCTTCAACAAGTGAAAATTCTGCTTTTAAATACAGTCTATGTATACCTATCACACTATTAAAAATATTTTCATTCATATACAAAACTCTTTCTAGGATTGCATATTTTTAGGATGAACGATTTATGCAGTCTTTGAAATAAAGCAAAAATTAATATAAAAAGGGGTTAACATAATGCTCGATTTTAAGGGTTAATTGTGTGAGTTAAGGAAAATAATTATATTTTTTAATGTCATGGAATTTACCGTTAGCTTTTTGCGTTTATAGAAATTTGAAAAAACGTGCGATTTCGGAAATATAGGGTGTCAAAAATTCAAATTTTACAAATTTCAAGGGGCGATAACTTGAGAGGGGGCGGAGATGGAAAAAAATTTTCTGCTAACGAAATGGACTATTTGTTAATGTCTAAAAGCCCCTAAAATTTCAAGCTTTTACAAGCTGAGGTCTAGAAGAAAAACGACATCAAAAATTTGGAAAAAAAAAAATTTAGATAACGGTAGATTTGGATGGCCATTTTGTTCTTCTAAAGTTTGAATTTAGTATACCGCGCTAGGGAAAGCAAGCCGCTGCCTTTCTGCGTTTGTAAAATTTCAAAAATGCTTATGGTTTCATTGCAACAAATAGTTAAAAAAGGCCATTTTTAGGGTTTTGGGGGCGTATAACTTCTAGAGGGGGGGAGATAGGTAAAAATTTTGTTCTACGGAAATAAGTTTCTAGTAAAGATCTATGTACATATAAAATTTTAGCTCTCTATCTTCAAGGGTGTAGAAGTTTTGTAAACAAAAAAAGTGTCCACGGACGGACGGACGGACGGACGGACGGACGGACGGACAGACAGAGTGAAACTAATAAGCACTTTTTTCAAAAAAATTTTTGGAAAAGTGTTAAAAATGATGCTTGCCTTTGTAGGCTATTCTATTGCTGATCTATTTTATGACATGTATTGAATTTCCTAAGCATATTATTAGTTTTTCAAATCTTCAGAATTCAGATAACAAAGAAAATAAATGTAGGTTTCATATCAAATTAAAATCTTTTAAATTTTTAGTTATTGTATTATTGGACATAGAATTATAGTTGAATTGCAACGTTAAGAAATCAATAAGTTCTTATTCACCATCAATATATGGGCCGAACAGAAGAACGAATTTCAACACTGTTTCATTAGTATTGAACTATGTATACATTCAAAAGTTTCTATTACTTCATATTTCAAAGAAATTTCGCTTCAAAATATGATAAAATAGAAAAAGAATGGGTGAGGAAAATTCTCTTGACGTGTATAATTCAAACACCAGCCCATTCAAAGTCCTTATACATAAAAATCTCCTTTTCCGTTTCATAAGAATGCTTTTACTTACATCTTTACTGCCATTTAATATTTACTTTGTCAAAAGTAACGTAACACTATCCTTGTAACAGTGAAATTTTAATTTATAACTCTTGCTTTTTTTCTTACAATTATACACTGTTTATAATGACAGAATAAGTAAGTAAAATTATAAAAACTAATTCAGAATTTTTTCTTACTAAAGTTCAAGTTCAAATCTCGTGCATAATGAATATTTCCGAAAAACTTATTTGAAATTCTTAAAGAAAAATTTTTCATAATTTCACATGTTAACTTACGTTTATTCTACATACACATGCATATAAACAACGTGTATGAGCATTTATAATGTATTATACGACATTAATAAACAAAACTTATAAAATGTTTAAAGGTGTAATTTAGTTATTAGTGTCTACAATTTTTACTGTAATTTTGTTGTTTTAATGACAAACATAAGAAAAGTTTTTAATTATTTTAAATTTTTCCCCCTCTATTGCAGTTTGTGTTATATTTTCTTTTTTGTTAGAAGAAAAAATTGAATTATTATTTTTTATTACAGGAATGGAATGATATGAATCTTCGGTGGAATTCTAGCGATTATGGAGGTGTTAAAGATTTAAGGATACCGCCACATCGTCTGTGGAAACCAGACGTCCTTATGTACAACAGGTAAAAAAAAACAATTTTTCTATTATAAATTATATATCTTTGCACTTAACATAATAGCGAAATACAACACACATACATAAAAATACAAGACTTGAAAATTATAACTCGTTTATGCGATTAATATTGCAATGCAGACGTACACAAATCGGTTGATGTTTTCAAAAATAATAGAGAAAAATATTCTAAAAAAAGTTATTAATTTTATAAACTAAAAATTCATTTGAAGAAATTTATCCTTCTGTTTTTTTATTGTGCATTTGCTTAAGTATTTGAATTTGGAGAGAGTGATAAGATTTTTATGAATCCAGCTTCTGAGCTGGAAAAATGGTACAGCCATCATTCTTTTATTTTAATTGGTAAAAATCGCATAATTATTCATTTTGACTTACATTTAGACATTTCTGCGAAATATGAATATTCTACACATACAATCGACTCCCCAAGTAATTTTTTCCAAAAATTTAAAATACTTTTATCTCTAAATGTGTTGTTGCGGTTGAGCTTTTGTGCATTTGAATGCCTCTACTTAATGTGAAATAAAAATTTCAATTTTTACTAAAAATTTTAACTAGCGAATAATGTTTCAAATATTTAGTGTTTTCATAACTAAATTTTAATATTCTATAAAATTATTAAGATGCTTAAACCCTTCTAGAAACCTTAATGAACGTTATGTACTCCGTATATATTTATTTTTACGTGAAGTAATTAATATTTCAATATTCATTTCACATCAATAATTTTAACGCGAAACAAGTCCTTCCTATGTAAACTTATAGGATAGAAATTGAATCAGGGAAACATCAAAATTAAATATAAATTTTGATGTGCATAGTTGAAAGCGATATTTTAATAAAATTTTTAATTTTCGTAAATTTTCATAAGGTTTATTAAAATTTATTCAAAATTTATTTATATTTTTGACATTGCTACAATATTACTTCCTAGCATGTCTCAAATATCTTGCTATCTTCATTAATATTTTATAAAATTTTCTATCAATTTGAAAATATTACCAGTATACTTAACACATTAACACACCTTTAAAATTTAATAAACAAGTTTTTGAATTTATTTTATACAAACAACAAAATCTTCTGACTTACTAGGCATATATCATGATATAGAGACAAAATAAACATGTATTTAAATATTAAAATGAAAAAGAACCACATAATCCCAATTTAAACAAGCTCTTCAAACCACAGAAAAGGACCAAAGATAGAAATGAAGACAAAAGCAAAAATTTTCATTAAAACTTCCTATATTATAAAAACGTGAATACCATATTCAAAAATAGGTTGACGTTCTACTAAGGCTCTATTTAGTGCTATTATTACTACTCCACTACATATTTTGGTTTGATTTTATGCTTGTGTTTAAGTTTTTTTTTCACTATTTTTTATGCTTTATCCTTATATTGTATGTATACATAAAGTTTTTGCATTTTGAAAAATTTTGTTATATGGTCCTTATTGTTGAAGTTGTTTACCAGTGCTCTAATATACTACTTCATTTATTATAAAAAGAAAATGTTAAAAAAAACAGTGTGCTCCTTAAAAAGCATTGTTGTTTATTAAAATATTGTGGTGAATATTAAAAAAATGAGTAGTACAGGTGACCAAGTGAGTTCAACAGTAAATATTTTAATACAATTGGTCTCTTATACTTAAAATTGAAGCTTTTATGTCCCAAAATCTAAAAGTTTTCTTGTTTCAATCCCATTTAATATTCCATCGTTTAAAGCCTGAAAAGAAATTCTCTAAGAAACCTATAATGAATTACCAAATAATGGAACGTTAAAAATATTTTAATTTAAAATTAAGTTTGTTAAAGCACTTTCAGCAAATGAAATGGTAAAAGCCAATTCTTTTGATTTGGTAAAGTCACAGGTATGAAAATTAAAAAATTTTCGCCTAAAAATATGCATAAATTAAATATATTTTCAAATGCAATCTTGAACAGCTTTTAATCTTGCTTAAAAATAGAACCATTACTAGTGAAATAAAATGTTAGGGCTTTTTGAGGAAAATACTTTAGAAGCACCAGTCTTCCCCAGCAAAATTATACAGAATTAAACAAAAATAATCAAGAAAGTATTTGATTATATAAATCAATACAGCGGCAAAACTAGATTTCAGCTCCAAACTGAGATTGCTTAAATAAAAAAAATCTATAAGTTCTAGGCATTTCTAAAACGGATTTCAGCTCTTACAATTTAACAAACATTAACCATTTACTAAGGTAAATGTTCTAATTCGTAGATTCGAAGCAAGTGAAATGAAGCATTAAACGACCAAGTGTTCCAAGGCCGGAATAGAATTCTAACGGGGACCGGAATTATGATTAAAGTAAAGATTTTCCGTTTTTTTGTTTTAAATATTTTAAAGTTTTAGTACTACAAGCAATATGTGAAAGTACAGTAAGCTTAAATGAAAATTTTACCAAAATTGTTTAAAATTTTCTATAATATTTACTAATAAACCTTCAACAGAACACCTTATCCAAAAATTAATAGAAACCAAGATAACTACCTGGAATCCTCATGTTTAAATGCATAATTTACGCGTAGTCTACATCATATCTATGTATATACGTGAATACATTATGTAATATTAAAGAAGAGAGAGCTTGGTATTATAAAAATTTGTAAACAGAATATGACAAGAGGGATTTTCAATGTAGCATTACAAAATGTATTATTGTTAATAAAACAGGTCCTCTATATCAACATACACTTAGAATGACATTTATTTTGCTGTTATTTAGAATATTTCCGCATATATTTTCGTAAACATATAAAGGACTTTCCAGGAATAAATGAAAATTGTTCATTAAAAGAAAAACAATGTAAAAAAATTATTAATATGAGCAGAAACATTTAGGTGTAAATACCTAAAAGCTACCCCTATTTTTCAAAAAGGAAAATGACCAATAGCCAAAATTTTTATTATGACACTGGAATTAATTTTAAGTAAAGAATAATATGCAAATTTCAACCATTCTCACTTCTTTTCTTCCAAAATTTTTAAAATTTCTAACAGTATAGGATCTTATAACACAAAATCGGCTTTAAATTACATTTTTAACTTTCATCTATAAATTTTTTTTATTGTGTCAGAGAGATATAATAATTCTGTAGCTCCCGATTTACTGAACTTTATCTTCTATTTGCATCATTAATTCGAAAAAGCTATAAATGCATTGTGTATTACAGTTTTTTACTTCTTTGACAGAAGTTAAACTTGCGCAGTTTTGAACGTTTAGGAAAAAAATTTTTCTCTTTTAAAATGTTTGGCGGTAACACAATTATCGTAATTTTAATTTAAATTTGTTTTTTTGTTGTATCCTTCGTTGAGAACGAACTAAAATAAAATGTTAGATTTGCGTACGAGTAATATACAACGTGAAATACCGGGATAAATTTCTACGTTTTTAATTTAAGTAAATCTAATTAATTGGTCGAAACTGTGTAATATACTCGCCTTTACTTATTAAAATTCGCATTTTACCATTATCACGAACACATTTGACTTTTAAAAGGACCAATCGCAATTCCCCTTAGCAAGCAAATATTTACAAAATTTTAGAGAATAAAGCTCAGTTTTTTAATATGTCACACTTAATTCTAAAAACAAATGGAAATTTAAAAACGCTAATATGATAAATATAATTAAAGTAATGAATTACATCCATTTGATTTTGGACTACTGAAGGAAAGTGCAAAAATTGGGCGGTTTTGTTGAATCAAATAACTTCTTTTAGAAGGTTAAAATAGCAAAATATGGCTTTTTTTCTTTAGCTTATCATGGAGATGTGCAAATTTTTCTTCATATCCTTTCGTGTATCTTCCGTTTTCCTCCTTTTTTTGTATATGCATGTTTTCTACAATATTTTTTTTCTATTCGCTTTTCTTTTTTATCTTGTTATTTAAGGTTTCTATTTTTAATTTTGTTTTTAATTTACCTTTGCCTGAAATTTTTTTCATTGCTTTTAGTTGTAAATTAGCAAAAGAGAAAAGAAGAGCGCTACAAGAATGTAGAACAAAGTACAGAAATTCTCTGAGGTAAAAAAAACTTAAACAAAAATGTAAAAAAAAACAAAGCCAGGTTACAAGTTAAAGCTTTCCAAACTTTTTCTATTTCTTGTTCTCTTTATAAATTTTTTTTATGTACTTTCACTATTTTGTTGTTGTTTCTTTTCTTTTTTGCTTATTTTAATTAAAGATGTAATTATCCTGTTTAGAGAGAAATTATTAAGGGTGCAGAAATATTCATAAAAATTAAAAAAAATTGAATCAAATGATTTTTAAACCAGCGCATTTCCTATTAAATTTGTCTCTTATTGCATACTTGTAGGCGAAATTTTTTAAATTACAATACATATTCACTAATATTAAATATTTAATTAAATGCTATAAAATAAATCATTATATTCTTTTGTAAAAAGATATCTAATGTTATTCCCGTAACTTTTTAGAAGAACTTTAATAAAAATTGTTATTACAGTTTCCTCCTTTTGAGGTATAGTGTGTAATCATTCAAGGAAATAATCAAAAGGCAACCCTTGTAAGATGACAGATGAACGTTGTTGAATTTGCAATTTTAACAGTAGTTTTCTGATACCGACCATACATTAAATAAAATAAAAAGCAAATGGTGGGAATAAAAATATTGCTCTAAATGACATGTAGGTTCTAACTAAGATCTCTTTTTCATAAATGCAATAAAATTCGTGTAAACATTTAAACTTTTTCTTTAAATGTGCTAAACAGAAGAAAGTTTTCCCATAAAAAAATAATTAAAATAAAATTGGTCTCTTTTTGTATTTTGTATGTGCACGGACATCAACTATTAAAAAAAGAAAATCATGGTGGAAAAAAATACTTGAGTTGAATAAATTGAAAGTAAACTGAAGTTTAAAATAAAAAAAAACATTATAGCTATAGTTTCTAAATAGTTAAACATTATCCTTTTTAATTAAAAACAACAAAAAAACAG